TATATATACCTAAGATTAGAGGAGGAACTTTGATAAGCTCCACTGGAGTTATCATGAAGGTATGACTGTCTCTTGACGTGGTTCGTTGTACAGCCACAAATAGATTATTCAGATGTCTTTGTGATATTCTCACCATTGTTAGCTTATATCCTCTTCATTGCTTTAATTTTACTAACAGGATTTCATCATCTTGTTTGATAGATATTGTAGAAGTTTTATTTGAATGTAAATTTAATTTCGGTAATTTGACAGAATTTTTAATTACCGCTTGAATTTATTTTAAAGTTTAACAGTTTTTAAAGAGGAAAATATGTGGAAGAGATGAAATTAAATTGAAACAAATATTGGTACTTTATTTTGCAATTTAAATATTGTTATAATTCGCTATTTAACTGATGGGAAACAAAAATTAAAAAAAAAACAAAAAACCACGATATCAATTAAATTTACTTGAATATATTTGGGTTATGAATAAAATTAGGAAATGTTGAAATTTAAAGGTGATGGAACACCTGGACGTTGTTGTGATCAATTTACCTGTGAAGATGGTGATGATATGCTAAGCGCAAATGGTAAACGATGTCCATATAATGGTGAAATGTATGATGACGGTGACCAATGGCATACAAGTAGTTGTGAGCAGTGCAAATGTAAAGGTGGCATTGCATTATGCAGTAAAATGACCTGTCCCAGTCCTCCATGTTAGTTTTGCTTGATAAAATAGAATAAATTAAAAATTAAAAACAAAATTGGAGATTAAAATTTTCTATTTTCATATTTTAATATTAATTATTAATTTATCAACCAAATTTATGCCCTCTCAATTTGATGAAATTGAAATGGATTTTTTCCGAAAAAAAGAAAATCGAAATTAAAGAAGTTTTAACAGTAAATTTTGAAATAATTTATAAAGGAACTTTGCTATAATAGAAAAAGCAAGAAATGTAAGTAACTTTACCTAACATACTTATCATCAATACCTTATCGTTTATCAATATCATTAACTGATTATATCTAAAGCAACAATTAAATATGTATCACTTAATAATCAATAGCATTAATAACATTATCATAATCATAAATGTATTATATTATCATAAATGTATTATGAAGGATGGATGAATGGATGAAATTAATAAAATATAAATAAAGAAAGAAATGAAGTTTAATATATTAATACTAAAGTAGCATTTTTGGTGAAAAATGAATGTTATTAATAATTTTACAATTTATATAATTCAAATTCCAATTTGATTTCTAATTCAATCTTATTTTATTGAGAATATTTTTATTTTTTACTTCCTTTTTTTTCCATAATATAATGAAAAAAAGAAAAAAAGTGTAGAATGTATCATAATGGTCACCAAAAATTTTAAATATTCTAATATTTTTAATTAATTTTAACCTTTAGCACACTGTACTTGGGTAGCTATACCGGAAAATGAATGTTGCCCAGTATGTCTTGGATGTCAAGCAGATGGTGAAAAGCATAAACGAAATGAAACATGGCAAAAAGATGATTGTACGAGGTTAGTTATTTTCTTTAAAAAAAAAAATTTAAATTTAAATTTAAATTTTAGACAAATTAAAAGAGAAGCAGTTAACAGTTTGATATAAATCTTATTTAACATTTCATTTCACAAAGAAAATAATACTTTTTTTTTTTTTGATTATTGATTATATTTGTGAAACAGAAGCGAGATATAGTGTAATTCAATCATTTATTAATTTTTTCTAATTTTAACATTTTTTTTTTGGTCTAAAAGTGAAATTTTTTTTTCCAACATGTCAAATTTTAATCATTCAATTTTACTTAGTTTTGATTAATTGAATTCAGTTGTTCGTGTGGCCCAGATGGTGTACATTATTGTCAAAAACATATGTGCCAAGTGGAATGTGATAATCCAAGAAAAATCCCAGGCCAATGTTGTCCTATTTGTGATGGTCATTTTACTATTTTTTAATTAATTATTTAAAGCAGTGAAAAATTTTTTTCTTTCATTCTTACTTTTTTTTTTCGTTTAATTTTTAAATCTATAACTTATAAATTTTATGCTTTAAAATGGAAAATAAAAAATTTTATTCCCAATTTTTCATCATTTTTTCTTTTTTTAATTTTGAATTTTAAAAATTATATTTGCAGAGAAAAAAAAAAGAAAGGATGAATATTTTTAGAGCCAACAGTAATAGTAAATCCAGCAATCTGTCCATCATTAGAGCATTGTCCACTACGATGTGAAAATGGTCTATTACGTGATTCAAATGGTTGTTTCCAATGCAAATGCGCACCTGTACAAAACATAATCAGTAGCAATTGTCGAGAACTCAGTGATGTTAACTGTGATAAGTTAATAATTCATTTAATTATATTAATTTAATTAATTTTTTCATAAATTCAAATTTATTTATAATTTTAAATAAACTTAAAACATAGGAAATAAGTATGCAATTATTTGGATTTTTCTTCCACTTTTTCGTAATATAATTTATTTGAATTTTTGAATTCAAGAAAGAAAAAACAAAAACTCTTCCGGAGAATAATTAAAGTTTAAGAAATTTTTGCAAAATTTTTGATATCATATCAAGTGATATGATAAATAATGTTTAAAAGTGAAATGGAAATTAAAAATTTATATAAAAAATTAAATTAACATTTCTTTTTGAAGGAAAACAAATCCTTTCATGTAATTATTAACTAATTAATTAATTAATTGTAATTGTTACAAAGATAACTTACTCGGTTCCTTTTCTCTCCCTTCTTGATCATAATTTTAACCAAAAATTTGCATTACTGATGAAGTAATTAACAATTGTAGAATTTGTGCTCATGGATATTTACGTGATGCTAAAAGTTGTGCTGTATGCAAATGCGCTAAATGTCCACCGCTTCATCAATGTTACAAACATTGCTTATATGGTTTTGAAAGTAACAATAATGGTTGTCCAGTATGTAAATGTCGAGGTATGCACATATACCTGTTCTTTTTCTTTCCTAATGAACAGTAAATTAATTTTACATTTTCCAAAAAAAAAAAAAATACGAAAAAAGATTTTTTTTTTTCGCTTCATAAACAAAATTAAAATATCATTCATTTAATCTATAACATATAATTCATTACCAAATTAATATTAGCACAAAAAAAAATTTTAATTTATTCAAAAATTTATAATTAAATTAACAAAATCTGTATAAATTTATGCTAATTTTAAAAAGTGATTAATTTTAAATAATTAATTAAATATAAAAATTGTAAATAAATAATTTTTTTTTTTTCAGCAATGAGTCGAATTGATGCCAAATTGTTATCATTGCAAAAAGAGCCTGATGGCTGGGATAAATGTTATTCATTTAGCACACAAACGGGTAAATTATATGAGCGTGACAGTGGCGAATGGTGGAATGATGGCTGTCGGCATTGTTTTTGTGAACAAAAACATGTTAGTTAATTAATTAATTAATTAATAATAATTCTTCATGCTTTTTTTTCCATTAAAGATTGAGTTTTTTTTTTTTTTTGTAAATCTCACATTTTGGAGACTTTTTTATTTCCTTTAAATCGATATTTTTGTTTTATTTAGGTTTAATTTACATATAACAAATATATCCCAATGTATATTTCTGTACTCTTTTTAGTAATTGTTAATTTAATTAAAGCATTTGGTTAAAATTTATTTTTCTTTCCTTTTCTTTT